TGGCAGAGCTGAGGGCAGAGCAGGCAGGGTCCAGGATCCAGCCCAAGTCTTCTGAGTTTATCTCCAGCATGGAACCTGGGAGTAAGACTCAGTGGACAGCACGGTGGCTGAGATAGCCAACTCAGAGGTCAACTGCCCTTTCTTCCAGAGCTGGTCACTTATCAACCGAACCTCTCAAAGTCTGTTTCCTCAGAGGAGCAGGGCTCAGCTGTGCTGAATATCTGACAATTAACCCTTCTAAGTTATTGATACTCATGAAAAGAGGCAGAAAGGAATACACAGAGGAGAGCTTAGATAAAAGGAAAAAAAAAGAAAAATTATGTACACCAATAATTCAGTTTTTAAAATTCCCCAATTAGCCATTGAAAAAAAAAATCCAGAAAAAGTCAAGTTGATTTTGCCAATTTTCAAATCAGAAAGCAGAAGCTCAAGGGATAAAAGGGAAAGTGGGAACATGATTTTCTCAGTCCTCTTCTTACACGACCCATCAGGTTCCACAGTCGATCATGTCTTGAACTTGAGATGCTTTCTTCTCCTAACTTTCAGGGCTGCAGTCTGGTGAGGAATTTGTAACTGTCGATAACATTGATGTTATCCTTAACTCTTTAACTCCCACTGAATAAATATTACTTTTGAAATCCAGCCTATAGATTTGAGTCCCTTCCTAGTATTAGTTCTATACAAATAAAAAGGATGTGTCCCGTGGCAGAGTGCAAGCGTTGGTCACAAGAGTGAGACAGAGTCCTGAGCACGAACAAGGTAGCTCAGAAGGCAGAGGCAGTAATGACACATATGCGTAATCAGTAGGAAAGGGTGCCCTGTGACCATCTGGAGCAGGGGGCCTCAGAAGTCCCTGTTACCTGCTTAGGAGCTGGAATGGGAGTATCTGATTAGCGTTGCTGCTCAGATTCTTTCCCTGATCTCCTACCAGATGCTGCACTAGGTGCTGGGTGTACAAATGAACCAAGTAGGGCACAGGCTCTGCTCTCAGGAGCTTATGGTCAGATGGGATGAAACAAATCCAGGGCTACAGTTTGAGTCATATTTTACTAGTTTACTCCAAGTAGCAGAAATGCAGATGGATTTGAGGTATGTAAGGATAAAATGTGCCAAAAAAGAGCTGGAAAGAGATTCTAAGTTCCTAAAGAAACACAGGACCAAGAAAACCTTCTCTACCACTGACCTACATACCCGGCCATTTTTATTTTTTTATTTTCAGAAAGTGTCTAAGTTCCAGAGAATGGCCTTAAACGTGCTATCCTCCTACCTCAGCCTCCTAAATTGTTGCGATTACAGGCATGCCCAGTGAGGGCAGAGAGATTTTGATGAGGAAAGAATATGTCCTGGGAGTGATACCAAATACTTAGGTATGTGCTGGGAAAAGCAGCAGGGAGATAAGGAAGTGGGGTCTCAAAGGACTCCCAGATTACAGGGAAAGTTCAACTGGGGGAGGAAATTGAGTTTGAAGCAAACAACATTCACCTAGAAGGCCCAGCCAGCATTTAGAAATGCAGGAAAAACTTGAGATAGCAACACATAGCCTTCAAAGTAGCCAAGGAATGGAGCCTCAGGCCAAAAGTCCTTACCTCCAAGACCACAGGGCTGTCACATTGAGATATGCTATTTGAGGGACCTACTATGTACAGGCTGACGGGTGATATCACTAAAAATTTGCACCCAAGAGGCCTGAACTTCCACAGCATCCCATGCCACGTCATGCTAATCTTTCTTCCTCTTAGTAGGCCAGACCACTTAGCTTATGGAGCGAGCTAGAAAACAAGTGATTGCCACATGAGAAAAATACTTCTTTCCTGTGGCTAGATATTCTATTTGGAAACACTTCCTGAGACTGCCAGGCTCACCACATGGTAGTCAGCACTGCTTACCTTCAGGAGACAGTTTCTTGCCTCAGAGGATTAGTGCAGATGTATTTAATCCCTAACGGACTCAAAGAACTGAGAGTCTAGGTTAAATTCTGACCAGAGTAATATCTCCGTCTCTTCTTCCTTTTCAAGTGGGGGTAAAATGCTAAAAGAAAAGGCAGCATCTATCGACTGGAAATCAAGGGAGATCCTGGTAGATAGGGGAGAGTTATCACAACTATTTATGAATTTATGCAATTAACTAAGAAGGTAAGGTGTAAGTGTTGGAAAAGGAAGCTAGTTAGAACTAATGAGCATTCAAAACAGCCAGATTTAGACTCTAAATTTCTTTTTATAGCAGTCATACCAAATACTTAGGACTCAGGACTGAATAGTTTCATGTGTATCAACAATTGGTTTAAATAGAAAAGGAAATCTGGGTCCCAGGTAGTTTTGGGCATAGTCACATCCTGAGACGGGAGCTCTAACACCAGAGCAGTTTCCTGGGGGGGTCCCTAGCATTCCGTGTGGTCTTCCCTTCATGTAGGCTCTCTTCACGTGGTGCGCCAGAGTCTTCCCCACAGAAACCCAGGGGCCGAGTCCTGTTAGCTTGGCTCAGGAGTGGGCTCTGTCAGGCCAGATATGGATCGTGTTTCCTCACGTTGGGGTGGTTTAAGTGGGGAAGAGTGGAACCCACCAGAGCCACATGGTCTGAGAGGAAGGAAGATGCCCATAAGAAAACTGAGGTGTTTGCTGGGCATGATGGTGCATGCCTATAATCCCAGTGGCTTGGGAGGCTGAGGCAGTAGGATCGTGAGTTCAAAGCCAGCCTCAGCAAAAGTGATGTGCTAAGCCAAATCAAAACTACTCTTAAGATTTCATCTCACTCCAGTCAGAATGGCCGCTGTTAAGAATACAAGCAACAATAAGTGTTGGTGAGGATGTGGGGGGGAAAAGGCACACTCATACATTGCTGGTGGGTCTGCAAATTGGTGCAACCAATCTGGAAAGCAGTATGGAGATTCCTTAGAAAACTTGGAATGGAACCACCATTTGACCCAGCTATCCCACTCCTCGGTTTATACCCAGAGGATTTAAAAAACGGCATACTACAGGGACACAGCCACATCAATGTTTATAGCAGCACAATTCACAATAGCTAAATTGTGGAACCAGCCTAGATGCCCTTCAGTAGATAAATGGATAAAGAAAATGTGATATATATATACACACAATGGAATACTACTCAGCATTAAAAGAGAATAAAATCATGGCATTTGCAGGTAAATGGATGGAGTTGGAGAATATCATGCTAAGTAAGCCAATCCCAAAAAACCAAATGCTGAATGTTTTCTCTGATATATGGATGCTGATCCATAATGGGGATGGGTGGGGAGCATGGGAGAAATGGAAGAATTTTAGATAGGGCAAAGGGGAGGGAAGGGAAGGGAGGGTGCATGGGGGTAGGAAAGATGGTGGAATGAGATGGACATCATTACCTTAAATACATGTATGAAGACACAAATGGTATGACTCTACTTTGTGTTCAACCAGAGACATGAAAAATTGTGCTCTAGATGTGTAGTATGAGTTTAAATTTGTTCTGTCATATATAACAAATTAGAATAAATTAATTTAAAAAAAGAGAATTCCTTCTATAAGTAGGGAAAGAACAAAGAACAGACCACTATCTTGGGATAAGGATGACCTTCTTATAGAAGACCCAAATACCAAAAGCCATAAAGGAAACATTTAGGATTACAACTTTGGCAAGAATGTGAAGAGCTAAGCATCCACAACTTTGGACTGGTAGAGCCAATTTGAATAATAAATTAGTGGAAGCCAATTTTGGATGGGGGGGGGGTGAGGAATTGAAACCATGGGCACTTTGCCACTGAGTTACAGTTTCAGCAGAGGCTGCTCTTGAATTTACAATTCTGCCTCAGCCTCTCAAGCCATTGGGATTACAGGTGTGCACCACTACATGCAGAAGTAGCAGCCAAATTTACACACACACACACACACACAGTTAGAATTCTCTAACATAATCAGCATCTGTGAAAGGGTATGCACATATACACAAGAAATCCATGCAACCTTGCTTCTAATAGCCTGAGGTAGGAGAAACACCCTAAGGCACCTAGCAATGGAGGGATAGTTAAAGCAGCTAATCCTGCCATAGGGGAGAATACTGCATAACAGATCTGCATGGCAGAGCTTCATGCTCTGAAGTACAAGAGCTCATAAGACTGAGTCAAAAGAGCATGTCCACTTTTATATAATGCAAGTATAACAGTGGCCAGGAAGGCCTGGAGGGACATGGCACAGCTGACCACCTTGTAAGTGATGGGTTGATTGCAGAATGGAAGGTGGAACAGAGGAAAATGATTTTTATGAGCTTGTGTGGTGATTAAATGATTTAAAATAAAGCATTGTTACATATTATATATTTAAGGAGGCAATGAAAAATGGTCATCGAGTTCCTCATAAAAACAAAGGAGTATTGAATCAGAGGGAAAACCAACTAAATTTCTTTAAAAATATACATTTATTAAAACTTTGAAGTTACTTAAAATTTTGTTCAAGTCAGAGGAAAAAAACCAATATTAGCTCTATAAACCTAGATGTCCCAGGAAGTAGATATCAAAGGATTTAGGTTTCAAAGAATTCAATTTCAAAGAATTCCTTATAAAAGGATTAATATCACATTCCTTGTTGCATGGGACTTAGGTTTCTCTGAGGATCATTTTGCCCTGAAACCACAGCCATGGTGAGTTAGCAGCAGAAATGGTGGATGGAGAGGAGAGGTTTCTATTCATTCATCCAAATGCAGCCAAGAGCACATTTCTTAGTTAATGGAATGCAGTTTCTTCTGCAGTTCTTTGGAGCAAAGAGCCTTTAGACTCCCTACTTCCCCCACTCAGAAAAGAGCCTCTGTGGCTTAGTCCTCACACCTGAGTATATGCTGAAACATTGGCTGAACATGAGCTGAAACATTGGCTGAATCATCACCGCAGGACTCCCTGTAACATGGGGGTAAAAATGTCTCTGGGCGGAAGTTTTCCTGAGTTCTTGTCTTCTTATCTAAAATTGTCACTTAGCTGGTCATGGTTAACAGATAAAAATGGGTTAAAAATGTTAGGAAGTACGATAAAATCGTTTGCAGAAATAGATGAAGATAGTTGCTAAAAGGCACGACATAAAAATCTGGACCAGAAGATTTCTCCAAAACGTTAGTGGCAAGGGTGTCCTAAAGAAGTCACAAAAGCCATCCTACAAGGGACAGAGAGAAGAGAAGAATTAGGTTTCACGATGCTCAAAACCTGAGCTCAAATACACAGGAGAGGCTGGGTGTGCAGCCCAGTAGTAAAGTGCAAGCATAGCAATGCACAGGCACTGCGTTCAATCCCTAGCATAAAACCAAAACCAAGCAAACAGAAATATTAAAAAACCCAATATGCAGGAGGTTCTAGATTAAACAGTAAAATAACTCTTGTATTAAAAAAGAAAGGGGATTCTGACAATAGGCAGCTTATAACTAGGAACCCATCAGAATTTGTAAGAAGTCCAACATAGTGCACAGAAGCAACCATTTAACTTTGTCACCTAGAGCGGGAACACTCTAAATGGAAGAAGGGAGACTGCCATGAGTAATCATGCTCTTTTCTGAACAAAGAACCTGTGCCATTAGGGAACTGCTAAATCACTAGATTAAAAAACTATCACCTGAGATAATAAGGCAAGAGGCTCCATTTAGGAAGGGAATTAAACTCCAGGTTGTGGCATTTTACTTCTAGCCAGAAAATAAAGGTAAATCCTGTTTACCCAGTAGGATAATTTCCCACTTCTTGATGTTAAGAGATTATTCCTTAGTCACTATTGATTAGCAAAAAACAAAAACAAACAAAAATAAAAACCAACACCCTCCTAATTTCCTCTTTAGGTGCAGAGAGCCTCAGGGGTTTTCAGAAACTCAGATAAGAGAGTTCTCTTGCCTTCACTAAGGCCAACATCAGGAATAATGCAGAAGTCAATGCTCACACTTCAAGTGACTTCCTCCCCAAAGGTACCCCATCTGTTACCAGAGGAAGGCTACATGGAAATTGACAAACAGACTAATTTTTTTTTTAATTACCAGTTTCTATAGTTTAGCTGTATTTATCCTGTAATTTGGGTCACTCCAGTCCTGATTTAAGACTGGTGAGAAGGGGATGAAAGAAGCAAGGGGTCTAGCTCAGAATCCAAGAGTCATACTGTGGGCTTAAGTGGTCAGCTTTTCTTGGTTCCAGGAGCTGAAAATTAAGAATCTCCAGTGTAGTGGCACACGCCTGTAATCCCAGCAGCTGGGGAGGCTGAGGCAGGAGGATCTCAAATTCAAATCTAGTCTCAGAAATTTAGTTAGGCCCCAAGCAATTCAATGAGACACTATCTCTAAATAAAATATAAAAAAGGGCTGGGGATGTGGCTCAGTGGTTAAACACCCCTGTGTTCAGTCCCCAGTACCAAAAATCATCATCATCATCATCTCCAACCGAAAGTCGGGGGCCTGGAAGGTCCCATCAGCAGGATTCAGGGGATTAGAAATGAAGGACACCGTGTTGGGATCCCCACTGGTGACCACACACTCTGCAGGATCTTTCTCCAAAAGTCATTTAACAAGCAGCAGGAGCCCAGCCCTGGCCTGGGCTGCATTATTGTTGACTTTACTAGTTGGGAATCCCTACATGAGTGAACCCTGCAGACCTAACAGAGTTTCCTAAAAGCTAGTTAAGGGGGAAGGTCAAAGCTTGCAGACCCAAGTCATGCTCAATTAATTGGAGCCGTCTAGCAAGCTCAATTTCTGTCAATCTGACTGCCAAGAGAAGAAACCCCGGACATTCACCAGCCTTTCCCGTGCTGCTGAACCCAGACTTTTCACTTTCAGAGAACTCCCCCCCCCTCCCCGGGCTGATGGGTCGGGGTCCCCCTCAGTGCTAGCAGACCTGTGCTGCGCGGTGCTCACCCAGCCGCCTTGAGCCTCCAGCCAGGCGCGGTGCCGCCCCACGAGCTGAGCACAGAGCAAGTCCACGAGACGCTGACAGTCCAGGGCAGCTTGGTCCCGGGTGTGCGGCCCGTGGGTGTCCTGCGGCTTTCTCTCCAGCAGCGTCCCTGCGAAGGTCACAAGCATCACCACACGGCCCCAGTTGAGGGCCTGGTTGTCGGAAAGAACAGCCTCTGCCATCTGTGCCATCAGCTCGACGCGGTTACCTGGGTGCCCGCGGTAGAGGGAGAAGAAGGGCTCGTATTGCTGTTGTAACCGGGCGGCCGCGGAGCGCAACAGGGCGGCCTCGGGAGTGGACGGCGGCGGCTCGGGGGTGCCCGGCTCCCGGGCACAGTACTCCAGGTAGTCGGTCAGCAGCTCGGCGGTGCGCTCCTGCAGCAGGTCTGCCATCCTCTGGCCTCCGCACGGGGCCTCGACCCCCGCCTTTTCTCTAGAGCCCACTGCGTCTGCCCCAGCTGGCGCCAGGTTCCTGTTTTTTCTAAGGTCGGGAGAGAAGCCTTTGATGGGAATCCCACTTGCACCTGTGACATTCCATAAGCGAGTCCCAGAGGTTTGCGGGAGTTCGCGTTTGTCTGTAGAAATCAGGAGCAGTGCGAGACTGGGATTATTGCTTAGTTCTGGGCCTGGGGATTAAGAACCAGAGCTGACAGTCCAGAAAGCTGGGCATGGCTCTTGCCTTTCCTTTAAGGCCACACACAGCCCGCACTGACTGCTCTCCAGCAGCCATTAACCAGCATCTCTAGATTGGAAGAATGCATTCAGGTGTGTGTTGATTTCTTTGGTTGGGTGTGGCAAAAGGGGCAGGAAACGGCTAATTCTCCCGGAGGCTGCTACAGTGCTGTATTCATTTGCAGACGTTAAGAGCCTGTGGGGTGCTAGGCCTTTCCCCCTTAGCACTGGAGATGTGATGAAGAACAAGACATATGGTTCCTGACCTCAAGGACCTTAACTTCTAGAAATGGGTGGACACAAAGGAACGGACCATTTCTTTAATTTATAATTATCACTATAATAGGAGAAGTTGAAGTATTCAGTTATTAGGAGGCAGCTCCTCCTTGCACCACCATTCCTATATTGCTTAGAGTTCTCATTTCTTTTACTGACCAATCCCTCATTATTCCAATCTCCTGATACAGTAAAAAATCTTCTATTAAACTTTTTCAGTTCATATTACTCTATGGTTTCTTTCTCCTGATTGGACTCAGACTGATACAGAATTGGTACTAGCAGTGACATTTCTCCAGTTCAGTGGTCTGGAACATGTTTTAATATCCCTTCCAGAGTGAAAGACAAATTGCTACATCTGCATCACCTACAAGAAAAAATAAAGAGGGGTTGAGGTTGTGGCTCAGTGGTAGAGTGCTTGCCTAGCATGGGCAAGGCCCTAGTTTCAATCCTTAGCACCACATAGAAATTTATTTAAGTAAAATTAAGTAAAATAAAGGTATTGTGTACAACTACAACTAAAAAATAAGAAAAAAATAGTGAAAGAAAGAAAGAAAAAAGAGACACAGCATTTATTAGTTATCTTAGTCCATTCAAGTAACTATAACAGAATACCATAGACTAGATATCTTATGAAGAAGGGAAATTTGTTACTTAAAATTCTATTGGCTGAAAAGTCCAATGTCAAGATGCTGACAGATTCTGTGTCTGACAAGAGCTCACTTTCCTGGATCATGGCAGTTTTCTTACTGTGCCCTTACATTGCAGAAAGGGTAAATGAACTCTATGGGGCTTCTTTTATAGGGGCAGTAGTCCTATTTATAAGGGTTCCATCCCTTGATCTAATCTTTTTCTAAAGTCCCCCATCTTTAATACCATCATGTTGGGGTTTAGAATTTCAGCATGAATTTTGGAGGGATACAAGCATTCTGTCTGTAGCAGTAGGCCATTTAGGTTTCACAGGCAACATATACCACCTTTGAGTGTTCTACTTCAACCCAGTCTACAGGCTGGTGAATTGGGGACCGCAGTAAAAGAAAGCTGTGCAGAACATGCAGGCTGCCATGAGGCTACTCCACCTCTTGGGTCTTATGATCCAGCAGATCTAATGGTACTTGCTGTGTCAAAATATGCTGTATGCAACCTCTGGTAAGCACTATTAGGCGATGGTTGGAGATCACTAGAATTTTAGCAAATTCTATTACTTCTTCTGAAGATGACTTTTCTCCTTTTGTGAAGTAGGCTGTGGCTTTCTACTGAGCCTTGGTAAAGGCTATAGGCCTAACCATAAAGAGACTACACAGCTTGAGTCCCATCTGAACTCAATGTTGTCTAGACTACTGAGTCATAAAGTGCCGCAGTCCGGCTGCAGCAAAAAACTGGGGGCGGGGGCGGGGGGGTGACGAACAACTTGTGTACCTTGATACAGCAGGAGTGGGAGCTGTTTATTGTAGGACAGGAGGGGTATATATACATTCCACACAGCTTATCTTAATTAACATAAACTAGATATAGCAGTCAACCAATAAGGAATCTCCACACTTAATGGCTTGCTGGCCTTACTTCACAAACCACTCCCTCTGGCAAAATGCCAGGCTCCATCTTGACTTGTTTACAGACCTTAACAATAAAGCTGATGTATAGAGCAGCAATCTGTCATCAAATGGGAATGGCATATGAGAGACTGAACTCAGGCAGGTTGAGAAGGAACAAGTATATAAGCAGGTTGCCCAGACTCCTTCAACCCCAAGGTGCTTTGCCTTGTGTATGGTCTCTTGGGGTGTTGTTTAGGGCCAGCTGATCGAGGAAGACTCAAGCCTGGATTACAGATGGTTCCATATGATAAGCTATTTCCATATGAAAGTGGATAGTGCCAGGCATGGTGGCACAGACCTGTAATCCCAGAGACTTGGGGGGCTGAGAGTTCAAGGATAGCCTCAGCAAATTAGCAAGGCCCTAGGCAACTTAGTGAGACCCTGTCTCAAAATAAAAAAATAAAAAGAGCTGGGGACTTAGCTCAGTGGTAAAGCACTCCTGGGTTCAATTCCCAGTACAATTAAAAAAAAAAAAGTGAATAGCTATGGCATTCACTCACACTTAGGGGTGACTGTGAAGGACACTGGCAAAGGAAAATTTACTCAGTGGGCAAAAATAAGAGTAGTATGTTTGGTTGTCTACTTTACCTGGGGTGAGAGATGCTTAGAGTACAGATCTACACTGATTCATAGGCATTCCTGATAGTTTTCCTAGATTGTCAGAGCCTTTAAAAAAAAACAAAACAAAAAAAAAAACAAACAGGAGTGAAAGACCAATGATAAGGAAATACTGGGAAGATGATTATGGCCGGAGGCCTCTGAATGGGCATAGACTGTGAAGGTATTTGTGTGCTGTGCGAATGCCTGCCAAAGGGCATCCACTGCAGAGACTCAATCAGGTGGACAAAATTAAGCACTCTGTGAAATGTCAGTCAGTCTCTCTACCTAGCTGTTTGCTCAGTGAGCAGGAAGGTCATGGCAGCAGGGACAGAGGGTATGTACAGATTCAAAAACATGGAATTTCCACTATAGAACTTGAGCTGGCTAATGCTACTGTTAAGTGCCTGATCTACCAATGGGAAAGATTCCCATCAGAGTGAGCCAAATGAGATATGTTGTAAGAGAATATAAATCTATACACATCAAATTCCTATCTGAACTGGTTTTGATATCTTGTTCCCTCATTAGTTATTGAGTTAAATAAAAGTTTTGATATTTATTTTTTTATAAAAATATCATATATGCAAGAGAGTCATGATTCTACTATTCTGAACAATATATTTTAACAATAAGCACAACTTTTCTTAGATTTAGAGTAGCTTGAGAGTGAGTGGGAAATATCTGGTCCTGCCATTGGTAACTCTTTTATCAGTAGAACTAAACAATAAATAAATAAATTATCCCCCACACAGAATTTCCTATTCACACATAGTGCCAAGAGGCAGTTTGTAGTCAGACATGATTAAAATCCTGGCTCTGCAGCTTTGAAGCTGTGCAATCATGGGCAAGCTATTCAGCACTCCTGACCTTGATTTCCCATCTCAAAAATGAAGATAAGGAAATGTCTGCATCCCAGGACTGTGGCCAGGAGTACATGAGTTGGTGTATGCAGAGTGCTTAGCACAGTGCCTGGCATGCTGTAAAAGCTTGGTTTTGCAGAGAAGTTTTTGATATTCATATGAATTAACCAGGGCTCCAACCCAGGCTCATTTGTTTTACTCAAACACGACATACAACTGTCTTATCTATGTGATTTCTGTTTTTTTTGTTTTTTTTTTTTTTGAAATTTTGCAAACAGCTTGTAGCTGCCTTTTATTTTTCTGCATTTTTAAATAACAGCTTTACTGAGATATAATTTATATACCATAAGACTCACACCTTTAAAGTATATAACTCAGTGATTTTAGTGTATTTAGAGTTGTGCAATCTCACCTCCATCTAATTTCAATACCCCAAAAGAAATCCATTCAGCAGTCAAACTCCACCTCCAGCCCTAAGTAACCACAAATCTACTTTCGGTCTCTGTGGATTTGCTTATTTGGACATTTCGTATAAATGGAATCATATAATCTGTGACTCTTTGTGTCTTTCTTTCACTTGGCACAAAGTGTTCAGGGTTCATCCATGAGGTAGCATGAGTCAGCACTTCCCTCCTTTTTATTGCTGAATAATAGTTCATTCATCCATTCAGCTGTTGTTCAGCATTTGGGCTATTTCCACTTTTGGCTATTATAATGCTGCTATGAACATATGTGTTTGGGTTTTGTGAGGACAAACTTTTCATTTCTTTTTTATTTTATTTTATTTTTTTAGTTACAGATGGATGCAATACCTTTATTTAATTTGTTTATTTCTATGTGGCGCTGAGGATCGAACCCAGTGCCTCACACATGCTAGGCAAGTGCTCTACCACTGAGCCACAACCCCATCCCTAAACTTTTCATTTCTTATGAGCAGAGACCTAAGGGCAGGAGGCTGCCTGTTACTGTGGAAAACACATGGGCTGGAAACAGTGACCTCAACTTTCATGGTTTCTTGTTTATGACAAAGTCAGGCATTCACAGTGGTGTGTTGGTTAGCTAACCTCAGGTTCAGAGGTTCCTGTTGTCAGTTTTCACATAAGTGAGATATCATTCTTACATTCAGTTATTTGTATTTATTTATGTGGGTTAAATTAACCATAGCACCATTTCTGATCCTGTCTCCTCACTGGAGGCTCTGCATCCTTTATGTAATACAAAATATAAAATAACTTCATATCTTTCACCAGAATTAGCCTGAGTTAGCCCACAGGGGGCCATAGTCCCTGTGGCTGTTAGCAGTTCTGAAAGCTGGCCTGGCTCCAGACAAGTCCTGTCTAGAAATGAGAAGTCAGGGGTCTGCTCTGAAGAGTGACCCAATTCTCACTCACAGACAGGATCTGGAGACAAGAAGATCCCCCAGGGGGCTTCCTCATCATAATCCTGGCCCCCTTTGTGCCTACCCAGTGCAGCCAGAGGAGCCATATTTCACCCTGCTGTTGACTGGGAAGGTTCTCAGCAGGCAAGTTTGGGAAATGAAGATCTACAGTAAATCCCTGTTCAGTCAGTTCTCCAGGCCTGGGAGAAACAACATGGCCTCAACCCCTGCCTCTGTTAATCTTCCAACCTATCATTGCTCTCCCAGGATTCTAGAGGTCCTCCTTAGAAAAGGTTTTAAGCAGGTCACAGGCTCCAGTTTCTCTTGGGCCCTTCTGACTGCCTCTCTGGGACCCTCTGTGACTTCCCATGCTGCCCAGGGCTGCCCCAAGCCTCCTCTGAAGGCCTTTCCTAGAGGCCAGCTCTCCTTATTTATCCTGGTTTCTTCTTTTCGAAGCTCTTCTAAGGCCTTAATGACCCCCAGGGAGTTCTCACTCAGAGGTGCCTGAAAAGGACCCACTAGCTTCTTCTTTTCTTTTTTTAATATTTATTTTTTAGTTGTAGTTGGACACAATATTTTGATTTTATTTATTTTTTATGTGGTGCTGAGGATCGAACCCAGGACCTTGCCTGTGCTAGGCCATCACTCTACCACTGAGCCACAACCCCAGCCCCTAGCTTCTTAAAAGTATGAACCAGAGCCCCTGAAGGGGTGAGAGGGAGGAAGCCAGGAAGGGGATGAAGAGAGGAGAGAAAAGATGGTGAGGGGAAGAGAGGAGGAAGAGAAAAGAGGTAGGGATAAGAAGGAAGGAGAAAGAGGGAGAATGAGTAAGAGGAGTGAGAAGGGAGAGGGAAGAAACAGGAAGGGGACTGGGAAATGACAGAGAGGGGGCCAAAGTTTTGAGTAGGCACTTCACCTACTTTACTACTGTCCCATTTCACAGATGAGGAAACTGAGGTTGAAAGATATTTAGAATTATCATGTATTCTGCATAAGTGATAGAGCTGGGAACCCAAGGTCCTCACTCTGTGTCACCATACCGCCCCTCCTAACTTATGGAGGAAACTAGTGTCAGTGGGGCCAACTTCTAGCTAGCTGGAATTACATAAGCCCAGACACACAGGCCTTTCCAAGGCCTAGAACCTTGTGCTGCCTTTAAACCACCAAAAACCGAGAGGAGGGTGTGGAAAGGGTTGGAGGGGAGAAGAGAAGTGGACATGGAGTGTCTGCTTCTGGCTCACCCCAGAACAGGGAAGGTCACTGGGACCCCAGGTTCTCACAGGCCAACTGCCTCCTCTCTCTAAAGCATCTGATATGATTTTGTTCCACAAATATGTCCCACAAACACTGTTGACTCTACACATCCTTTCTGCCTAAAGTTTCTTTCTGGCTGGGGAGGAGGTTCCCTGAGGCTCCTCTCTTGCCTGGGACACATCCTTTTGGCCCCTTCACCACAATTGGTTCAGCAGGTTGTCCCCAGGTCTGCTACAAAAAAAGAAAAATTGATTCAAAAACTACACTCAGTATTATTTTCAATATGCAAAATACAATTTATTACATGGAGTTTACCCTTGAGTCTCCACATGGCATAGTATATTCCAAATAAAGAATTTCACCAATAAATACTAAACAGCACCCACTGTGAGAACATGGACTTTGGGGAGAGGTGGCTTCCTGCCCAAGGCATTCTGTGGAATACTTTCATCTGGCCTTGAAGTTGCTCTCTTGGTTGGAAAATCTTGGGCTACTTTGCAGGTGGACTGATGATGCTTCCACCCCCAAACATGGACACTTGAACTTGCTTCCCTGAGTGCAGTGGGCTTTCCTTTGCCCTGTGTTTCTTCACTTCTGGAAGCTAGCAGGTCCAGGTCAGAGTAGAGAGACAAAAAGGTGTGTGGAGAGGGAAGGGGTGACAGCTCGAGGTCAGTGAATCCCAGGCAAATTCTGGGATGTTCAGGAGCAGAGCTCATCCCTTAGGGTTGACCCTGTCAGCCGTTGGACGATTCTAAAACATGGCTCCTCTGAACCATGCTCCCTCTAACCCTGAGCTCTCAGGAGGCAGGAAGAGGCCATTAATCTTTTCCTCTCTACCCTGGCCCTGGTGTCTTATAAAACCCTTGGTAAATATTTGCTCTGCAAATGATTAAATACAAGTATTGTGTTTATTTAAAGTGAGTTTATAGAACAGCTGGTCTGCTTGATTTTGACTGGTGGGCCCATCATGATGCTTGAATAGTTTTGAGGGTGGGCTTGGCACTCCCACCTCCCCAGTGCTTATGGGAGTCCAGGCCTTTCCCATGGCTGTTCCAGCTCCAGCTGTGCAAGGAGAAGCAGGCCCTGGGGCTGGGTCGACAAAGCCAAAACTACCACTAGGAAAAGGGCTAGGCAGAGCAGAGAGGGGACTGGACAACCCAGGGGATGTACACAAATAGCCTCAGCACAGCAAGCACCTGGCCGGTCAGACCCCAGGCCACCCACAGGGCAAGCCTCACCTAGGAAGGATTTGGGTCTCTGAGGTGACCTTTCAGTCCCCTAAGTAATGTATCTTTTTGTATCCACCTCTCCCCCCCTTTTTTGACAGGGGTCTGGCTATCTTGCCCAGTCTGATCTTGAGCTCTTGGACTCAAGCGATCTTCCTACCTCGGTTCCTGAGCAGCTGAGACCATGGATGTGTGCCACCGTGCCTGGGCACATGTGAACTTTTTGAATGAGCAGCTTACTAAAACAAATAGATCTCTACACCTTAAAATTAAAACAAAGAAAGGGAAAGAAAGAATAAAAGGAATCTCATAACAAAAAGTACTTGGCATCTTCTAGAAGGAACTGCTGAATTTCAAATAAAGACAAAATGTTCTTTTGATATTTTTCTCTAAATATATGATGAATAAATACATTATTATTCAAGATCTATCCATCAATCTGTGTATGCAATTACAATTGCAGTGCAATATATATGAATATAATTTATATGGATAAGATCCACTTTGATCCAAGTGTTTCCACTAATGCTACTAATAGGTTTTTAAATAAGTTTACTGTCCTATGTTCCCACACAGGAAGGTTTTGCTTGCTCTCAGAAGCATTGTGTTACAGACAGCATTCAGCTCTTCCCTCAAATGAGGAAAAATGCCCTAATACATTTATTTAGGTATATACAACATCAGCAATGTAATTCATGAATCAAACATCCTGTCTGTTTTATGCATATTCCTGCTTCATTTATAACAGTGTACACAGACAAAAATGTTTTATCTCAAAAAAGATGACAGGAGACTGAAAAAAGATAATTTTATAATAAAAACACATTTTTAAAAAGTGGTTTTGTCCAATAACATTTGGAATTGGAATTTTGTTCTGTCACAGGCCAATTAACACATTCCTCCTTAGACAGTCCATAAAACCAGCACTTCTAGAGCAAGGTTCCAAAAGTCACAGTGTACGCTAAGAAAAAGCAGATTTTAAAGTGTTCTGAAAATGAATTTGATTCAAGGAAGTAGTATGAAATATTCAATTGCTGAATTCTATGGGCAACAGAATGAGTTGAATTATTTAGAATAAACTTAAAGTTATTTAGAATAACCTTAAAAATGGATAAACTTTATAAATAGGTCAAAATGAAAAATACTGTTCTTCAAAGTATTCTTGTAGTGCTGAAGGCTCATGAGAATGTATTTCCAGGGGTGGTGGTTTTAGCAGTGATGCTGAAGATGCTTAGTGAGTTTGAGCTATGCAGCTGATCCCTTAAGCTAAACTGCAAGAAACCCTAAGCTCTTCTAGAAGGTCTATCTATTTACAGGTGAAGATTTCACATTCCATCCTCAGGTACGTATGTGTGAACTGTGAGATGATGATTATGCCCAGACCTGTGAAGACAGATAATTTTAAATTCGTTAATAGTTAACAACTTGTCTGACTTGAACTTAAGGAGATAAAATCAGTCTATCCACTTGTATGCACACAGCACAGGCATGAACTCACTCCATCCAAACTAGGGTACTCACGTGCCTTAGGAGGAAAACATTTAATTCCCAGCCACCTGAAGGTGCTTCTGGGGATCTGACTCCCCCTCTCTCTTAGTTAATCATCCATAGGCATCTGTGGCCTCTTACTAGAGACTGGTAGCTCTTTCAGATTGAGATCTGAACCATCTGTACCCCAACAGTTCACCATGTTCGTCAATAAGACACTTAGATGAACTCACAGAAAACTTTTTGTTTTAGGAATTTTGTAAAAATTCTTTATGTCTATTTATCCTAAAACTAGACATTCCATTTGCCCACTTTAGAAATAATGTCCAAGTCTCAGGACAACTCAGAGCATCAACTGACTGTTTACTCTACCAGTCTTTGAAATCCTTCCCTCACCCAGGTTCCAGCAATCTTAAAACTTTATCATGCCACAGACATGCCCAATCCTAACCAACTGCCTCTGTCCTAAGACCTGCCTTAAGCCAGACCCTCACATGTGCCTCTGCCCTCCCCTTCTGAGATGCTACTAAGTCTCTGTCAAGTTTGTGATCCTTCATACTGACATGTGGAATAAACTTGCTTTGCTTGATGAATAGGCTATTTTGATGATACTTTGAGGGAGCCAAAGGTGGACAAGGTCATGGAGCTTGAGAATTTGAAGAAAGCCACGAGGGCTTGTTTCACACACACAATTTGTAAGACCATTTTAGGGGCTTCACAGGCTTCCTAAAGTGTCTGTGGCCTGTGTCCCTTGTCATAACAAGGTCATCAGTAAGAAGAACACAGCAAAACTGGGAGGAGAGGCTAGAAATCTGGTGTGCCAAAGGGTAGGATCACAAGAATTGTCCCTCAGGGTCAAAAGCAGCATTGTGGATTATTGAGCCCAGCTATCCCTCAACTTGACACCGATACATGGTTGTCCAATCTGTGCTTGAACACCTACCTGTGCGGATGGGGCCCTCTGCACCTCCCCACGAAACTCCTTGCCTCTATGGCTGCCCACAGAGCTGAAGTGATTGCTGCCTGGCTGACCAGCCCATCTCAGCCTGCTCTGCCCTCTCTGCTTTAAGGAAGGCTGGTCACTTCTCTCTCCTGTCACACACGGAACAGTAGAAACACATTTCACTTACTCTCAGGGTATGATCCCACGATCCTGAGCAGAAAGCAGTCCCGTCAGGAGAAACTCGGAGAGTACTGACGCGGTTTTCGTGCCCAAACAGGATGGAGACTCGGGTGCCTTTGAGAACATCCCAGACGTTGATGGTATAATCATTGTATCCAGCAAAGAGCAGGCGACCTTCAAGTGGGTGATGTGATGGTTATTAAACCAGTTTCCTCCCTCCTGCTTTTCTTCCATCACTCACTCGCACATTCATTTACTTATTCATTCAATCAGTAAATAGTGACTTAGGCCACGGTGTGCCAGGCCCTGTGCTTTGCCTTTGGGATTTAAAGAGGAAAAAGCACAGTTGCTGGCCCCATGCTGGATGTGCGGCAGAGAGAAATAAATCACTGTAATATCATGTGACCATTCTGTAAGGACTTACGTGTATGTACAGGATATGGGACCCCAGAGGAAGGGGGACCAAGGGGCAAGGCGGACAAAAACAGATCATTTTGCCAGGTGTGGTGGCGCACCCCTGTAATCCCAGCTACTTGGGAGGCTGAGGCAGGGAAATTGCAAGTTCAAAGATGGTAAAGGCAATTTAGCAAACCCTGTCTCAAAATTAAAAATAAATAAATAAATAAAAAGGGCTGGGGATGTAGTTCCGTGGTAAAGTGCCCCAGGTTCTATCCCCCAGTATCATACAGACACAGACACACACACACACACAAAGGGCAGTTGAGGAAAATGGCACAAATGACAAATGTGAGTTTAACATAATGGTTCACAGAAAGTTTAGTTAGTGGGAAGCTTGACAGAGAGCTGGGTTGCATTCAGGTCCTGTCATACAATCCTGGGGAAGTTTCTGAAATACAATCTTACCACTGAGGGAGAAGTCCACGCTGGATGCTCCGAATATGATACTCTCTTTGGAATAGATGGCGACCTCCCTGTCTGCTCGGAGGTCATAGAGGCGACACTGAGGTACAAAGAAACAGACAAAAAAGCACTTACTTTTGGCTCCACTTTGGTGACATGGTGACCCCAGAGCTTCTGGTGGGAGCTGGTGGCTTATATGGTTTGACAGATGAGGTAAAAAAATCTCTTTAGCTTTCTCTTCTACTATTTCATCCCTCAGTTTTGACTTCTATTAATCTCCATGGATCATTAGAAACCCAAACAATCAGTACATGCAGAAAATTTCTTCAGGTACAAAAACAAAAATGAAATATATTTTCCTGATAAAGGAAATATGGTTATTGTAGAAAATTCAAAAATATTTAGAAGTGCATGAAAAAGGAAATAAAAGTCACCCCAAGTCCTAGAGATATGCTAATGTCTAGATTGTTTCCTTCAGTCTATTTCTATTTTATGTGTGTATATATAAATGGGGTAGATTTTTTTTTTTAATATTTATTTATTTTTTTTAGTTATCGGCAGACACAACATCTTTGTTGGTATGTGGTGCTGAGGATCGAACCCGGGCCGCACGCATGCCAGACGAGCGCGCTACCACTTGAGCCACATCCCCAGCCCAATGGGGTAGATTTTAAAATTTTTTATTAGTTATTGGTGGACCTTTATTCATTTATTTGTTTATATGTGGTGCTGAAAATCAAACCCAGTGCCTCACACGTTAGGCAAGCACTCTACCACTGAGCCACAACCCCAGCCCAGGGTAGATGTTTTATTATTGTTTATAGTAACATTATAAGCATTATTTAATTATCATTAGATAATCTTCAAAAAATTCACATGGTTGTCAAACATCCCTCATGTTGATATGTTAGAATCTTTTTGGTCACACCCTGTTAAGTGCTTGCTTGTGACTAATTTTTCTCTATAAATAACACTATCATGCTGCCTTGTATAGTGGTGTACACCTGTAATCTCAGTTACTTAGGAGGCTGAGGCAGGAGGACTACAAGTTCATGGACACCCTGAGCAACATGGTGAAGATCCTGTCTCAAAATAAAAAAGGTGTGGGATATAGCTTAGTGACAGAGTGATTGCCTAGCATGTGAGAGACCCTGGGTTCAATTTCCAGTACTGAAAAAGAAAATCTATTGTGAGCATTCTTATGTAAAAATCTTAATATACCTCTGAAAATTTCCTTAGAATAGTCAAGAGGTAGAATTTCTAGAATAGAATTGTTCTCAAGAAATGGCATGCCAAGTCAAAACACAAGGATGTCTTAAAAGCTCATAATTTCTACTGAAAATCTTCCCTTCAGAAGGGTGGTACCTACAAACCTTACTGGGGTTTCTCCAAAGATCCTCTGCCTCACCAGCTCCACCCCTGGGCAATGCTTGGCTGATCCAACAGGCAAAACAGGCATCTGAATATATTCAAGTTGCATTTCTTTGATTATAGATGAATTAAAAAATATTTTTAGGTATTTATTGGCCATTTTGGATTTATTATTTTGTAAATGGTCTATAGTTATCCTATATAATAAATGAATAAAGGTCCATCAAATGTGGTATTCAGCTTATTGATTATGTAATCTCTTCACATCTAAAGGATTTTTACTTGGTCTATCACATACATGGCAAGAATTTTTCCAAACTGTATGTCCTATCTTTTTTTTTTTTTTTCTGGCACTGGGATTGAACTCAGGGGCACTCAACCACTGAGCCAAATCCCCAGCCCTATTTTGTATTTTTATTTGGAGACAGATTCTCAGTGAATTATTTGGTGCTTTGCTTTTGCTGAAGCTGGCTTTGAACTCTCGATCCTCCTGTCTCAGCCTCCCAAGCTGCTGGGATTACAGGCATATGCCCACATGCCTGGCTATGCCCTTACCTTTTGTTACATATTTTTTGATATAGAAAAGCTTATGATTTTCATTATTACCAAAACTCTTAATCTATTACCTTGTAATTTTTTATAGCAGCAAATCAGAATGAAACCTATTATTTAACAAGATATTTAACGTGTTTTTTTTTTCTTTAATTTTTAGGAACAGGTCTCACTCTGTTGATTAGGCTAGCATTTAACTCTTGGGCTCAAGTGATCCTCCCACCTCAGCCTACCAAGTAGCTGAGACTTACAGGTGCATACCACCAGGTCCTACTAATACTTGACATTTTTGAGGGCAGCCAAAATATATTTTTGCCCTCAAAAATTGATAAACATAATTTGCAATTAGTATCAAAGCCTTGAAGCTGGGTCACTTTTGGTTCAGCAAGTAATATCTAAGAGTTCTAAGGAAATAATAAGAAAGGTACACAAACATTTACTTAGAGCAGTGTTTTTAACAGGGAAAAGAAAATGAGAAAATCTGTCCATAAATCAAAGCCTGGTTAAATAAATGCTGGCATGTCTATATGTGGAATGCTATTAAGAAAAATATAATGTAGACAAATATTTACCAGTATGAGAAGACGTTTATAATCCACTATGTGAAAAAGGCAAATTATAAAGCATTTTGTTGAAGAGACAAAAGACAGGAATTTATCTAACTGATTTTTGTCTTAGAGATATTAAGGTAATTTAATTTTTCTCCTTAAAAAATTAGGTTTTTGGGGCTGGGGCTGGGGCTCAGCAGTAGTACACTTGCCTGGCATGTGTGAGGCACTGGGTTCAATTCTCAGCACTGTGTATAGATAAATAAAATAAAGGTCTATCAACTACTAAATTTTTTTAAAATTAAGTTTTCTTCACTGAATATACATTACTTTCATAAGAAGCTATTTTTTTATAAGACAAAATTAATTTAGCATATCTCTCTTTCTCATAGGAAAAGTTTTTCAAGAGCTTAGAAACATACCGTAGCATCATCTGACCCTGAAGCAAAGGCGTCTCCACTGGGATAGTACCTGCAGAGAGAGTTTGGGTAGAAAGCATTTAATCCAGAATGGTCATTACTGTCCCTTGACACCCATAAGAGTCCTCTGGGATGGCTGTTCCAGGAAGACCCTCCCATGTTGCTCATCCAAAATCAGAACCTCCACCTCTAGGGACAGAGGGACATTCGTTAAAGAGACCTGAAGGGAGGCTTCTATGGCAGGTCCAGTGACCTCTAGTTTTCTTCTCTGTCAACAGGGGACAGTGACACTGGCCTTGCAGAGTATGAATGAGGAATATATGAAATATGTGTATTTGCATCAGGCACTGAACACAGAGCAGGTGCCCTGTAGATGTGGTTTCCCTTGATCACATACCTATTTCCCGAGAGTGGGCTCAGAGCTCAAGGATAGCCACGTTCAGCTGTCTGTGCTGTCATGTACTACATGTAGCTGTATCTTGCCTAGCCTTAGTTTCTTCAGCTAAAATTGAGGATAATATCACATATTCTCTGTTGGGAAGACCGAATAAGACCCAGCATGCAAAGAATTTCACATGGTGCCAAATAAAAAGCATTCAATAAGCAACTATTACTGCCATGTTCACTCTTCTCAATGATAGGTAGGAAAAATGTGTAGATGATGGGTTGTGGGTAGAATCAGAACAGAGGTCTCCAACCCCCACTCTGCCAGCACTCAGAGGTGTCCCCACACCTCCTGCTGCACCCTCTTTCTTGTACAAATGGCCTATATCCAACAGCTCTATAAAGGCTAGAGCAGAAGATCTCTTAAAACAGCTTATGGAATTACCTCTCCTACCTGGGGGAGTTGAAAGTAAAGACATTTGGCAAGAGAGAATGAAGCTTGACTCTGTGTGACTAACTTATACCAGTCTGAAAGCAGGGGATGGAGAACAGAAAGGCTAGATGGCATGTGCTAAGAACTAGAAGCTCTGTTCCAGTCAGTTGTCTTGTGAGCTCATATTTTTGAAAGTACTAGAGATTCATGGAGTCTGACACACCAATATTCCAATGTCAAATTAAAATGATATCTAGATTATACTTTATTTGGGACATCATGGGCTATGATTTCCTTCTGCTGGCAGGAAATTTAGGGTTCAAGTGTAAAATGGATTATCTATAAGTGATGTTTGGTGTGTCTGTCTCTTTCCCTCCCTGTCTCTCTCTACTATTGCTGTGGTTAAATATGAGCAGGGTTTTTGGTTGTCAACAAACCTAGGAGGTGCTACTAGAATTCAGTGGCTGGGGCATCCAGGGATGCAAAATGTCTTACAAGGGCCAGTCCCTCATGATGAAGAAATGTCCTACCTAAAACAAGTAGAGTGCCCCACTGAGAAACACCAACTCCCCTCTTGGCTCCTGGCAGAATGAAAACTATGTTCTAGTTTTCCTGCAGCCAGACTGGCCATTTAGTCTAGTTCTAGCTAATGGGATGTAAGCTGAAGTGATACCTTCAACCCTCCTCTTCTCACCCGCTGGGAAGGAGACCCAGGGAAGGCAAGCTGGGCCAAAGCACCATGCTAGGAACAACAGGGTTTCAAAGAGACAGAGTGGGCCATCAAAGCAGCTCAGACTTCAGTGTGACAATAAACTTCTATCTTGTTTAGTCACTGTTACTTGGATCTCTGTCACATGAGCCCATGTCCTAACCATTCCGTGTATAGCCAAGGGCATGCTAAGAGACCAATGACAACACTTAGTGTGACCTTAGCTTTGGAGGGACAGTATTCAGTGTTTGCCCTGGCATCCTGGACACAGCGTACTGGATCAATCCCCATAAAATCTGCCTGATGAATCTCAGCATCAATTTATAGCATTCTATAAAATAAGTTAACTGGGATTGCACTCTACACAGAAGGAATGTCCACTTGATAGGTTATATTTTGTCTTTACTGACAAGAATAAGGTCTATTTCTCTACTTATCAATATCTTTAAAAAATTTCTTGTATTAAGAATTCATAAATACTTAATATTTGGTTGCATTTACCCCTCTGATTTCCTCAGCAGAGGAAACGGATGAATACATTGGCCATACAGTGTGGCCCCTGTCACCAGAGGACATCTAACTCAGTTCTGGGAACTCTTCAGATCCTGAAGAGATCTGGAGACCTGAGAGTCTGATGAACATTAGAGGAAGGAGTCAGGGTAGAGGGCACAGCGTGGGTGAGAGAATGTGCACTTTAAAACTGTACTTCATTATCATTTATTTTTGAGGCTTTATCTTCCATCATGCATCTTACTCACTTCATTTGCTCTCTGTAGTGTTTCTAGATTGATTTTCCTTGATTGTCCAGGTAACTACTACTCATTTGCAAAAAGGAAATCTCTTTCTTTTTCCTTACCCCACATTTGACAGCAGGGAGTACTGAAGTAAATAAGTATTCTTTTGTTCTTGCTTTTAAGAGAAACAAGTTTAGTATTTTCCCACCAAGTATAATGAACATTCTTGGGATTCTGAGCATAATGAAGATTCTTTAAATACTATCTCAACAGTGGTGTCTTCCATACATGTCACATCCTGACCTCTCCCTTAGAATCCCATTCACAGATTCTGCTACCTACTTGACATCTTCCTTGGATATCTACTAGGCATCTCAGATTGAACTAGTCCTGAACACAGCTCCTAGATCCATGTGCAAAAGCATCTCCTTCCTGCACTTCCTTTAGTCTTCCCTGTCTTAGGAAATGGATCACTACTTACTGCCTGGATAAAAGATTTTTGTTCCCTAAGTTCAGGGTTCTTCCATAATGCATCCTGTGAGCATGCAGGTATTATTTGGCTCTCTGTATGTCACCCTGGGGTGACTTGGGCTTAAGTAACCAGCACAAACATGCTGATACTCTGGATATTGCCACTGCTGTTAATATAAACTGTCCTTCATCTTTGAGTTGTATCTTCTAGCAGCATCTATGAGTGATGGCAGCCTAACTTGTTAACTTTCAGGTAGGTAAAATCTCAGACCCTTGATAATTCTTGACATTTCTCTGTCTCCATCATGTCTTCCTTATCTTCAACCACCATTTCTTTCTTGAATTCACACAACCTTCTAAGTGGTCATCATACTGCCATTCTTGCTCCCCTATGATCTATATAGAGTATTCTTTTCAAAGTGAAACATGATCCTGTTAGCTACCCTGCCCCTAAACTCTCCAGTGGTCACCTGGCCTTTTGTTAGGTCCCTCGACATCTCATTTCTGTGTTCTTCCCCCAACTCTTCCACCTGCAGCTTGGCTCTTTTATTATTCTGGCCCCGATTTCAGTGTTTCCTTCTAGTAGAGGCTTTGACTTTTTATCTAAGAAATAGCCCATCCCATCATATCTCCCTGTCTTACTTTTCTTCATAGCATTTATTGATATCTCAAATTAAACTGCACTTTTATTATTTATAGTTTATCTCCTCTAGCAGAGAAAAGACCTTGCCTATGCTTATCTTATTCACTACTGGCAATCTCAGTTATGAGAATGATGTCTAGTATATTAACACTCAGTAAATATTTGCTGGATGCATGAGAAATACTAATTCAACTTAGGGAGAATAGCGATTATTCCTAAAGAAATTAAATTAAAACTCTCCATGTGACCTGGAGTGCTGATCATTTCTATCACCTTCAGCCTCTCTTGCTGAGTAGTCCCTCTCAGCCAAGTAGATGAAGCCTGAAGGTGGTTCCTGGGCTGGGGACAACCCAAGCCCAGGTAATACTGACAGGACGGAGAAGTAACAGGAACACTTTGCTTACTGACCTGACACTGTTGATGTCAGATTCGTGTGTTTCAAAGGCCTGCACACATTGGCCAGAGCGCATGTCCCACACCATGGCTTTCTTGTCACATCCCTGCAAATGTAAAATTACTCAGAGTTATGGCACTGCAAGGACTGTCTATAGACAGAGCAGGAGTCCCAAGACATTTTTTTCTGAGAATAGCTACTTTTCTCAACCAATAAACCCTGAGAAAGTTACACTAGGTCTTAGAATGGGAAGGAGCAAGGCAGGGGGGCACCCAGCTTTCCCTGTTAGCATGTTTTCTTCTTTCCCACATTTCTGAATGGAGGTGACTCTCCAGAGCCTCCTTCTCACCCTCCTTCTGGGCATTTCCCTGCCCTTCATTTCCCCTTCCCTTTTTCTGTAAGCCCAGAGGACAAGGCAGGCAGACGGTGGTGCATGGTGGGTTCTCTCTGCTGTGACACTAATGAGTGGGTCAGCAGGGCTAAATCTGAGCAGCAAAAGTACCAGCTCTGTCTGAGGTGCCCTTGGGCCACCTGCAGCTCAGCAGCATGCTGGGCTGGGAATTGGCAAACAAGAGCTTAATCTTGGACCTGCCATCAATTTAGAAGAGGCACCTGCTGGGCTTCCACCTCAGCACTTGGAAAGGCACCACACAGAGGATCATAAAATGAGCCTTTTCACACCATGCTATCAGGATTCTGGGAACAATTTGATAAATTCCTGCAGAGCAATCCTGTTACCAAGCTTAAGTGGTAAAATGCAGACCCTCAACAGTCAAACAGAAGCAATGGTTTAAACTTGATGTCCAAGTTGCGGCTTCAACGCAGAGCAAAGGGTTCAATGAAGCAGCATAGGGGCTATCTCGGGGAGACCTGCTGGGGTGCAGCACTCCTAGTGTTGCTGATATGAGGACAGTAAAATCAGGAGTGTCTTCACATCTTTAGTGGACAATAAATCAAATGGAGTCCAGTGCTCTAAAAGATAATATAGTCTTCAGTAATAATGATAATTAAAACAAAAACCCTGTATAGTTGAGCAGTGATAAACACAGTTATATAATCACAATGGGATAAAACCTACAGATGGTCAAATACCCATGAAGAAAACCAGGGTCCATGCCAATGATTCCCAGGGCTGAGGCATAGGCAGCCTAAAGCAAAGAACCTTATGTCTCTCAGGAGCAAAAGTCATGGGACATACTGTGTGTCACTGTCCTCACTCACCACTGTCTTCTAAGTGAGGTGAGTCAGGACTGGGGGTCAGGTTGGCCAGCTCTGTTCTGACCTTTTCCTGGGCTGCCACAGAAATGCCTCAGCACAACACAGCATGAACTCTTCCATCCACTGCTGGTAATGTTTCGAGGAAGTGGGGGGTAGTTCTATTGCATATTATGATAAATTTATAGGTGAAGATATTTGAAATCAGGTAGTGAATCCAGGAGCCAGGTAGCCTAATTCCTAGTCTAATGCTGCACTGTGTTATGTGGCCTTATCTTTCAACTCTGAGCCCTCAAATACTCTGGTCCCTGTACTCTGGAGCGGGAGGGGGTTGGTGGCCAATAGACATGGGGCTGGAAGAGTTTTCGACAGCTCTGAAGTTCTGAGCACATCTCTGTGCCACCTCACCTCAGTAGCCATTGCACCTGTGTGGTACCTCATCTCTAGTGCTAATACTGTATGGCAGATATGCACCTTGAGTTGAATCATTTACATGGGAGAACATTCCAGATCTTTCTTTAGATGGCTGAATGTCAGCAGCAGAACAGAAGGGGGCCTGGAGTCAGTGTTGCCATTGTGGTAGGAGCTGGGGTGGTGTAGGGAGCTGAGGACTCTTCCTGCAGCTCCTTCTACGGAAGGAGCAAGTCCGGTTCCATGAATGCATAAGAACTGCCACCACAGGCCTCCCTAATGGACAAAGGACCATAAAGATTTTCCTTGGGTCTTTACCCCAGACACAAAGGTGTTTCCGGTTTCTGAGGGGGCCAAATCCAAGCAGAGGACATCAGCCCCGTGCCCATGGAAGCTCTGCAGCAGCTGCCCGCTCTCCACATCCCATAGGGCGCATGTGCCGTCGCCACTGGCTGTCAGGATCTGTCAGCAGAAAAGGACAAGGGAGAGTGTTGGGGGAAGTTCATCAGAGGCTTAAAATTCTCCAGGAGTCTGTCCAAGCAGCCTCCTTAGACAGACAGACAGACACAGACACAAACATACACACACTCCTTGGTGGATCTAGATGCAAGCACAGAAATCTCTCTTGTAGGAAGGTCTCTGGCACCAGCACAGTCATTGAATCATAGATATCTGTGCCTGTTTTCCTCAAAATGCCAGTGGCCCCACTGTGGTACCTACAGGGCTCCACCGCTGGCTGCATGTAGGAGGTGCTCTATGGAAACCTGTCAAACAGATACCACTATTGTGCAGGCCAGACACTAAAGTGATTCTCAGAGGTACTCACAAACCACTGGTCTGCTTGCTGATCTAAGAAGTCTGGAGTGGGGCTTAAGAGCCCATATTTCTCCTACACTCTTGGTGAGGTTGTGGCTGGTCCCTGAACTGTACGTAGAGCAACAAGGACCTAGGCAGCTGTTTGTCAGGTGCATTCTCCTGCTGCTGCTTCTGCCAGAGCAGGATGTGGCTCTAGAAGCTCCCCAGGATCGCTGACGCGTGCTGGAGGACACTCATGCACACACAGGTTCAGTAAACATTTGCTACGTGCTGATGATGTCTGGGCCTTGTGCTGGGGCATTAGGACTTGCAGAAAGATCCTGTGATGGTATCTGTTTTCCCAGAACTTGATTTAACAAGACTGGCAGTGAGAATGGAACCAACATAATTCCCTTTTCTGTGTTAACTTGAGGACCAGGCATTGTTTTGTTACTATGCTAGACAAAACTAAGACCATTAAAAGGACCTGGATGCTTGCTCTAGGAATACCTGCTCCTGGAAGAAAAGACTGTGAACCAAACAGACTTCCTTATCAAGACTAACCATGTGCTCATCAAGACTCCAAGACCTTCACTGTGCTCACCAGTCCACAGCTATCATATCTTAAACAAGTTTCCCATCAGCCTGGACCCTGAAACATGGGGAGAACCCTCCCCTGATAACCCCATTTGAGATACAACAGATGTGATGGAGCTGAAGTGCTCCCTAACTGCAGGGGTCTAATAAACTCAGCTCTGCTTGACAACATGTTTTCCTGATGGTTGCCTGGGGGCTGAAATCATCACCAGACAATGCAATGATCACTGGCAGCCATGTGAGAAGTGCTGAGATGCAGGCAGTACCTGAAGAGCCCTGACCCAGGGACAATGTCTTAAGTGGCCTTACAGGAGTGACAGCTGGCCAGACCGAGAGAATGGGAGGGAAGGGTGACCCAGGAGGCGAAGCTCCGCTCTGAAAGAAGATGAGCTGCACCAGACTGAGGACCTCAGACTGTAGGTGAGTAGCTGTGGAAGCTTCTAGCAGAAAGCAAGAGAAAGGCACCTTCCAGGAAGTCTGCTGGAGGCCAGTGCAGCCACCCAAGTGGCCTCTGTGCAGCTGCCAAGCACAGAGGATGGCCAGAGTTCAGGGGAGCCCTGGTGCCAGGGAAAGGCCTGGGTGGAGGTGGAGTTCTGGTTGTCACCACTGCCAGTGCATGGGAGGCTTGGGCTGTGGCTGAGCACAGCCTCCTGAGGTTGGGAGAAAGCTGGTAGGGACTCAGGGCTCATGGCCCACTTAGGTCCTGCTGGTTACATCACAGAGCCCTGGAGCCTTCTTTGTATGCAGCAGAATAGGCGATCACCACAGTTAAGTCCTGAGAGCAGAGCCTCCTACTCCTCACCTCTGGCTGCCCCACAGGGTCAAGGTGAGGTGTGGGTGGCTACTGAGGGCCAAGGGAAGGACACAGGGACATAGCCCCTCCAGGGCTGTCAAAGCTGATGCACTCACTGTTCCCATCCCTCTGCTAATTTCCAGGACTGGTGAGTTCTCCCTCCTCTCCCCTCCTTCCCCTTTCTCTTGTCCCTTCTTATATATTAGATCTATCATTTAAGTGTTTTTTTGTTGTTGTTGTTTGTTTTTTTGGTAGGGATTGGACAGATTACAAGGAGGGGAATCTGTTCCCACCCTGGCCTTACTACACTGTGTTGGCTTAGGTTTCCTGATGGAGAGTCTGGGGAGGCCAGGATCTCCCTGAAGCCAGGAGAGGATACTCTGAGGTTCCTCCCCAGCTCACCTGCCTCCTGGGCAAAGCCGCTGAGGCCCCACTCAGGGGCAGCATTCAAATTCAGGGGATCTCCAAGGCTGCAAAGCCCCTGCACCTGTGCTCAGCGCTGCCTCTGGCCCTGACATCCCTTGGGAGGCCTGTGCACATTCAACAAGGTGACTTAGGTTGGTAAACGTAGCTCATGAACCCTTAGACTTGAACCAAATATATATATATAATTTATTTATTAAAAATTTTTTTTTGTTGTTGATGGACCTTTATTTTCTTTGTTTGTATGTGGTGCTAAGAATTGAACCCAGTGCCTCATGTGTGCTAGGCAAGTGCGCTACCACTGAGCTACATCTCCAACCCTTGAAATAAATCTTAATTTGGGTACCAGTGTTTTGAAATGTGCTCCAGATCCCTTCAGTCTCTCCTGGCCCACACCCACTAGTGGATGCTCCAGTCTTTTCCTGTCCTAACACTTGTAAAGGGTCAATAACATGACTTTTTATGGGACACTAGTTCCAAATAATCTGCTTTAAATGATTACCCCAGCCTAGCTCTTTGAGAGATTTTTATACCATACTCTTTCACCAAAGAAAGAGTTTTTAAACATTCAAAGTAAATTCTTAATAGGGAATTTTTTTGTTTTAATTTTTTTGTGATTTTAATTATAATGTAAACAAAAATAAATTTTAAAAAATTCCAAATATTTATTCAGACAAATGCACTATACCAAATCCTAAACTCATTGTCACTTGTTTGTTATGGAATGTGGAGTCATAGCAGCCACTTTAGTTTTTGTTTATCATCCTAGATCCTAGACATGGAAGACAGCTATAAGACTCATTAGTTCAGTGGTACCAAACCATGAATCACCCATAACGCTTTGTGTAATATTACTGAAATAATATCAGGTAATATTTATTGATATTTACCAAGAACTATGTTATTTTATATAAATTATCTCACTTAATCTTCAGAAAACCTTAGGTGGGAAGAATTTACTATCATCCTTACCTGTAGTGAGAAAAACAAATGACACAGAAGTAAAAACCTTACCTGGCATCACTATCTAGAACACCAGGGAGCTAAGACCTAGCCCCTGCATTGCCCCCTGGGCTTGCCCCCTAGAGGAAGGCAGCAGGGACTTCCCTCCATCTCCACTAGCTGCAGGTTAGAAAGTACTTTCTGACACAGGCATCCCCTTAGCTCCTACTGCCAGCACCTGTGACAACAGAGTGAAGGGGATGGGTCTTCACCAGAGGGACCTCAGATGGTTTCAACCCACTGATCTTGAATCCCTCAGAGCCTCTCTTTATCCAGACTAAATGTCCTGTGTTGCTTTGGCTGACCCTCAGGCTCAAGGACATTTAGCTATGGCCATTGCTGGTTGCAATGCCCCCTACTGCGCAGGTCTGTGGTGGCACCCCAAGTGTGGACATTCCTTCCACCAGTGACTGAATAGTTACAGATACCTGGACTCCCTACCTCCAGCCTCACCTCTCTCCTGACATCAACCAGCTGAAGCCAGAGCAGCCTATGGACTCTCCTTAAACAACCCAAATCTGACTCACACCTACAATGGTTCCTTCTATAGGGCCCATCCCTGGGCTCTGCCACTGACAGCCTCTAGGGCTGCTTTCTTCCCATGGGCTCCCTCACACACTGTGGCGGCCTGAGGTGGCAGCCATCCCTTCTCACAGGCAGGGCACGTTTGTGATGCCTTCTGGCTCTGAGCTTTCTGCCCCAGAGTCAGGTGGTATCTGTCAACAGGGTGGTAGGCACTTAGGCAGGATTGCTGAGTAAGTGTGAAAAAACAAACTATGGAAGGCTTTTTACAACTTGCTAAGGAAAACAGTGTAAGTTTTAGGGTTGTATTGCTTTTGCTGTGGTTTATTGAAAGTAGGGCACAAATTTAATATCAGAAGCATTTAGATTTTGCAGTTGTTAAAACAGGAATGTAAAGTTGGATATGAGATGTGTGAGGAGCACCACCCTGAAGCTCAGCCAAGTTTTACACAAGTAAGTGCCCTAAAAACTCCATTCAGACCAGGAGACAGCAAGTCCCACCGCCCCAGAAGATTCCCTGCCTACTTACCTGCATGTCAGAGTTGGTGAAGCTGCAGGCCGACAGGTAGTTGGTATGCATAGCTACAGACTTCTTTTTGGCAGCCATGTTCTCATTTTTGTCAAATGTCAATGGGTACACAGAGCACTTATTATCCAAACCACTAGCACAGAGGGAAACAAGCATCAGGGTGAACGCAGATGAACAGGATATGTGTACTGTCTTTTTTGTATACACTCACACAACCTTTTCCTTAGCAGTATCACACACTGTAACCTTCCCCCCAACTTTTACTTTTAAGATTTTCAAACCTGCAGTAAAACTGAAACAAAACAAAAAACCTTATATCAGAATCCTTCACCTACATTCATTAAGTAATATTTTGTCATGTTTGTGGGAGCAAATTCTGAACCCTGGGAATGCAAACTGCAGACATGACTTCTTATTTCTAAATACATCAATTTGCAAATTTACATCTCCTAAAAATTATAATGCTCTCCTATATATCTACTACATCTTTATCACATCTGGAAAAATTAACAAAAATTCCATAACATTATGTAATAAGTCATCCATATTCAATCTTCCTCAGTTGTCCTCAGGATCCAGAATCCAATGAAGGTTCACATCTTACATTCAGTTGTTATAATTGTTTAAGATCTTTTAATCTAGAACATACTACCTTTATGTTTTGCTCATGACAGGAGATCTTAGGTCAACTATTTTATAGAAGGTCACACACTCTGGATTTGTCACATTGGTTACTCAAGCACAGGCTGAGAGACCCTTAGCCAAAATGCTTAGGACCAGAAGTGTTTCAAAATTTAACTTTTGAAATATTTGCATATTTCAAAAATTCTGGGGAGGGGACCCAGGTCTAAACATCAAGGTCTCTGTGTTTTATGTACACATTATACACATAGCCTGAAGGTAACTCTATACAATACTTTTAGTGTACCTATGTGTAGACTGTGACCTGAAATAACAATAGTAACAGATCACAACACAAGGAGAAAAAAGTCTATAGGTGTACAGTAACACTGGGAGAGGAGATTCCTCCTTCCAGAAACATACCAGCCAACAGAGGTAGAATTTTTCTACTTGTGGTATTATGTTTCAGATTTTGGGGTACTGTGGACTTCATATTTCCAGATTAGGGAAATTCAACCTGTATAATATTTTTGGAAATAATAATGTAAAGGTGATGTTGGGTACTTCTCTCTTATTGCTTCACTTCAAAAATCTTGTGATACCTGTTGTTCTAAGATTGGTGATGCTCACTTTGACTACTTAGTGAAGGTGGGCCTCCACCTTCCTCTCCAAAGTAAAGGTCATTAGTTGATCACAAGTAATAATCTGTGGTGTGGTATTTTGAGACCATGAAAATATCCTCTTCCCCCAAAGCCTTTCATACAATGGCTTAGTGTGATCAGCCTTGCTTGAATCAAATATTACTGTAGGGATACAAAATGGTGACCTTCTGATTTGATAATGCCTTTTGCATTTATCAGCTGGTTTGTTTCTGGAAGGAAGAATTGCCTCCCCAGTATCACTGAGCACCTACAGACTTCTTTTCTCCTTGTGTTGTGATCCATTACTATTGTTATTTCATTTAAATAATTATTTCAAATCGTCCCAAATTTGGAGTCAAGTCAGCTCTTTTTTTTTTTTTTTTTTAAATGACCCTCAATTGGTCCTTGAACCTTTCCTCCCTTCCTCTCCCTTCTCTCCTACTCTTCTTTCTTGTGCTAGGGATTGAACCTACCGGATGTTAAACACATGCTCTACTACTGAGTTACATTCCCAGCTCTTTCCTACTTTCTGGAACAGGAAAATATCCTAGGTTTATTATTTTTCTGCACCAGACCTAACATCAGCCTTTAACCAAGGATCCCTGTTTCCCTTCAGTAGGGAACAAGCATGGGGTCACTCTTTCTGAGGCTCTGGGGAAGCTCAGGGAACCCTCTACCTTTCTAGAGGTGGAGCTGTATGCTTGGGTGGTTTATTATTAGCAATCTGCTCTGGCAAGCTTGTTCACAGATGGTGCGGTTGAGAATGATTTGCAGTAGGCTGTGGTGATAAGCAAGTGCGCCATGGGGCAATGTTCTCACCTGAACCTTCAGTTGGGGACGCGTCTTCCCCAGCCTGAAGTCTCATAATAATTTCTCTGTAGCTTTGTTGGAACACTTAATACTTAAGGTTATTTGCATCGCTAAGAGAAGCAGAGTTTTGCAGAGTAATGCACTTGGTATTGAATCTCTGCTTTAGCACCCAACTAATTTTGTGATCTTGGTTGTTTTATAAAACATGGCATAGGGGTGGACTTGTGAGGATGCCATAGTCAGGGAATATTATGTTAGATTTGCCACCAGAAACTTCACCACAGTTGCTCATGGTAGTTCTAAGGAAGGTCTGGGGGAGGGGGAGACAGTCCTTTTGCCTACACTGAGGATTCAGTATTTCCCAGTTTAGTCTGTTGCTCTCCCATCCATCCCCAATTAAAAAAAATGCTTTCACAAATATGCACACTTTCCTCTGTTTTCCTTCTCTGAGCGATCGGCGAGGTAGCAGTACAGGTACTGACCATCCCCATTGGCCAGGGCCAGGGAATCAGATGACTCAGATTAGGGCACCTGTGAGCTCTCTCTGAACTGTTTATGTACCAGTGTAAGGCACCAGGAAGCTATGTACCAGGGCCTTTCACAATCCTTCCCTCCTGTCCCCCTGCCCTCATCGAAATCCTTTCACTGGGTTCCACTTAGTGAGGGTCATAATAATAGCCTACAGCTTCACTTTTCAAACTATTATTGAAGACATTGTTCATTCTATTATTATCTGCATTGTAAATTACAAAAGAATCTACCCAATATATTTTTACCCAGTATATTCTTTCTAAAATTTAGACCTGATACCTAATATTTCAATATCAAACACTAAAGAATTATGTGACCTATACAACTATAGGCATTTGCCAAAATACATACCCAATTAGAAACATTACTCTAGGATTTTTAAACTGTATTTATTATACCTACTAAGTGGTGAAGAACTGACCTGACCTAAGAGAATTTTTTTCCTTTGCTCCTGGGAGGTGATGTCTGGGCCCCTGGAACGTCCTGCCCGGTAAATGTCTTTGTTTGCCTGAGGGGCTTTGGCTACTAAGCAATCTCATAGGTGATTTATGATGAGAGCTTTGGGATATGTCAGTTCCAACCCCAAGAGGAACTGCAGAACTGGAGACTCATGCAGGCAATGTCATCAAGCCCCAATAACCTGGGACACAGAAGGCCTAAGTGAGCTGCACCAGCTGGGGATCTTCTGTGGATACTACCACACTGTGGCCAAGAGAAGAGGCCCTGGGGAGAGGATGATTGGAAGCTCACCCTTCCCAGACTCTACCCTACGCCCTGTCCCTTTGGATGGTCTGGTTTCTACCCTGCTGTGATAAAGCTAAGACAGGAAGTACAGCGCCTTAAAGCCTGAGGGTGGTTGTGGGGACCTCTGAATTTGTGGTCGGCACCTGCAGTGAGGACAGCCTTGTGGGGTCTGTGCCTCCTAACTGTACAGCCAACAGAACTCCTCTGGCTGCTTCTCTCTCCCTCTCTCTCTAAATGTGGCATGTATTTGGCACATATATGTCTATTTTTTGTAGCCACGTCATATTCTTTTAGAAAGAAAATGGGATGAATTTTATATAAATGAGCACCCAGCTATAAAATGGAGACATGACATACTTTTGTGAATTAAAAAGTTAGAAAATATGAAATACGCATGTATGAGCTCTAGGGACACATGTGGTCTTGGCACTTGGAAGGAAAGAGTGAGAAGATGTCCCCAAGACAGCTGCACAAAGGGAGCGGACACTGGTGAAGATGGTTGGTATGACTCTGGCTGGGTGACAAAAGTTTTTCTAGGGGCCCTGAGTTTTCCTTTTTAAAATGCCTTTTTTTTCTGATTATAAAAATAACATATGCTTATTAAAAAAAACCTAAAAGTAGAAAATATTATCAAGAAGAGAAAAATTTCCCATAGTCTCATCATCCAGAATGAACTACTATCACAATGGCTACAGTTCATCCCAGTCTTTACTTTGTCTCTTTTTTCAAATATGGCTGAGAGAAGCATTTTGAATGGTTCCAGAATTGTTTAACACAGGACAGGAAATTATGTAAGTTTCAATTCTAGCCATGTAAAACTGAGCTCCAGGAGAGAGGAGAATAAGGCACAATTTTCCTAGTAACCTTGATATTCTTTTCACACACTGTAATTGAGAACTTCTCTTTTTACTGCTGTATAATATTTCAATCAATTCATATGCCACAATTCACTCATTTTTTGATGAATATATTGTTTCCTTTCTTATTTATTTATTTATTTAAAAAATGCTAAATAAATGTCATTGTTTGCATGGCTTTTGTACATTTTGGGTCATTCTTTTCAAACGAATTACTCAATGTGGTCACTGCAGCAAAGCTTACAAATTTTTCAAGGCATTTGAAATATACCACCAACCTGCTTTCCAAAATGTTTGCACCAATTCACAGTCCCACCAACAGCAGTTGAGAGGACAGGGGACAGGTCTGGACTTACACTTTTGTCAATGTGCAGTGAGAATCATCATGAAAGAGAGTTTTGTGGGTTCTTCTTTGATAAAGTTCAGGGAAGATTTAAACCATTGTTAACAAGTAGTAACAAAACTTATAAATTCTCATTTGTTTGCTTGTTTTTGCCAATAGAAAAGTATTTTGTGACTGACTGGAAATCTGAAAAGCTTACCCGCAAGCTATGGCACATCCTGACGGGGCGTAAGCACACGCCATCACCCACGTGCAGGGCATAGTGACCGCGTGCTCCTGAAACACAGCATGCATCATTCCAGAGTGAGCGACAGGCTCTTCTGCACAGGTCTTAACATTTAACTTTTACAAAAGAGTTCCCACTGAGTCACCTCACAGTCTCAAAGGGGAGAGCTGTAGGACAAAGGTGGGCTTGGGACTGACGAAGGGTCTCAGCCTCCTATCATCAACTAAACTATGTCCTATATTCTAAAAGTAAAAAATCTCAACTAGAAAAAAATATTAATATTAATATGTTTACTTCTTTCTAAGTATTAATATTTTACTCTTTTTTTTTTAAATTTTGGTACCAGGAACTGAACTGAGGGATTGCTTAACTACTGAACAACATTCCCAGAACTTAGAACTTTGTTTTTTATTTTGAGACAGGGTCTTACGGCCTTTCTAAGTGGTGGAGACTGGCCTGGAACTTGTGATCCTTCTGACTCAATCTCTAAATAGATGGGATTACAGGTATATGTCGGCATGCCTGGTAATATTTTATTTTTATTCATTATTTTGGTGGTGGTGCTGGGGATTGAACCTAGGATGTTGTGCATGTGAGGCAAGCACTCTACCAACTGAGCTATATCCCCAGACCAATATTTTACTTCTTAATGTTACATTCCCTTTGTTCTTCTGCTTGACTACTGGGGTTCCTTTTCTTTGAATCTGAGTATGTATCTGCATCTCCTTGCAGGTAAGTATTTTACCTTACTAACTCTGATTTCCATTTTCCATGCAGAAATTTGCTTATTGGTGAGTAAGCATAAGTCTCTGCTCACTATAGGTCCTGAAACCATTTCTGGAGAGGGGTACATGCATGGGGGTGACAGGAGGAGGAGGGTAATCTTGGGTTGTATGCATGGATCACAGAGAACCTGTAAATGGAAGCATTAAGAACTAAGCAGACGGGGCTGGGTTTGTGGTTCAGTGGTAAAACACTTGCCTAGCATGTGTGAGGCCCTGGGTTCAAGTCTCAGTACCATATATAAATGAAAATAAAGGTCCATTTACAACTAAAATAAATATATATTTTTTAAAAAAATAAAAACTAAGCAGAACATCCCTGGCTTCTGCCTGGTGGCCCAGTCACTATGTCTTCCTGCATGCAGATAAGCAAACAATAAAAACCATATCGCTTGGACACTCGAGTCATGATCTTAATTCCAAGGAGCACAGGATATTGGTCCTGGTTTTGACAGTAACAACATATGCAACCCCATGTGTAATGGACATTTTTCCTGCTTGTCTCACGTTGTCTGCCTATGAAGCGAGGGATGGGACTAGATGATTCCCAATGGACATTAGAGGCCAGGTGTTCTTTTCTGTTGTGAATCTCCATGTTTCTGTGGGGAAACACAGACTCCAATACTGCCTGCCAAAATCCTATTGTCACAGTCTTGCAGCCTTTCAGATGCTAAGAATAACCCACACCCTCCAATGAATGGAGCTGAACTGGCCGCTTTCGCACAGGGCCAGGGCCCTTTTGCTTACCAGTAATGGCTATATTCTCTAAGCAGCCACACAGCATCCCTGAAGCTCCCAGAAATCAGCCCAGTGCCCTATGCCTAAGGTGCAAATAGAAATGATTGCACCCCATGGTGCAGAAGATGCTGACAGACGCCAGGAGAGGCTGTGGCTTGCAAGGAGGTGATGTGTAAGAAAGCCCGTTTAGATTGCTCTTTTTATTATTCTCCAGGAGCCTGACCATTAAGGACTCTGTTCTTCAAAATGGTTCTGGTCCCTCACTGGATTAGATCATGTAATAGCTGCTTACCATGACATTTACTAACACAATCAATGATGGGGAGCATGGATGCTATTCAGCTGCCCCTGTATCAGGAGCTATAGGTCTCCTTTTCTTATATGGCTAAGAGGAAGATCTCCTTTCCAAATAAATATTGGAACCCATATTTAATACACAGTTCTCCTACTGCAAATGCTGTATGATACAGGCATGCAAATGCCTACGCAGAGAGCTCAGCCTATATGTTAAGTCTAAATCTAGACCTAATTTTAGGCATGTGTGCCCAGACCAGATTCCACAGTATCACATGATGGTTCAGTTCAGTCCCACAGCAGCCTCAGCTTTCCATCTGTTCATTTCCACTGCTGTGGAGTCTGGCCCAAGGTACAAGGGGAAGAAATGATGGAGGATTTTGGTACTTCCCGTCATTACTTGGAAGAAAAATAGTAAAATGCAGTGGGACATGTGAATGTGGCAGTTTTCTGTGCTATGCCCATTCCCACTTTAGCAGTAGTGCCCTCTATAGTAACTACATGTTCTTCTCAGGGTGAGGGAGTTCTCGAGAGAGGAACAAATGCTGCTCTGGGCTGGCTGAGCTGCTCAAATGTGGCTGGGCTTTCCCTGAGCTTCCACGTCTAGAGGCTGAGTGGTCACTCGCAGTGGGGCCCTGGTGGAGGATCAGGATAGAGCACCTTCAAACCAGGCAGGATACTGAGATTCCCTGATGTGCCTGGGAAGGAGGCCTCACCTTGTTGGTGGTGAAGGAGTCCCACACGATCACCTTCCCATCCTGGAGGGAAAAGAGAAAACAGTTCAGGGGCTGGCAACAAGTTCTCTCAGGTAACTGCTGAGAAGTCCGTGTCAAGCTGCGTCCAGCGGGACAGTGAAGTGGAAAGCTGGTGCAAGTACCTGGTAATCGAGACCCGCCAACCTACTCATGAAAAAAATGGAGGTAGGGAGAGGCTGAACTTCCCAAGCTGGGAGAAAGGCCCAGTTTTCAACCCTACATTCTCTGAATCAACCTGAGTACAGAAAGCAAGGCTCAGATGCTTCTTCTATACTGCTGATCAACCTACACAAGCTGTTGGTATAGCTGTCATTCCCCCCTATTCTAAATGTCCAAAAGTTAGGGGAGTAAAAATTTAAAATTACCTTTAGGTGCCTGACAGGTAAACAACAAATCTCTACATTATCTCCAATACTTCATCCCTTCTCCCATTTCCTTAAAGTTCATGTTCCCTGCGGTCCACTTCTCCAGGTGCCCAAGGACAGCAGAGCTCCCCACTCTGAGATTTCACACCCAGAACAATGTGCAATATGTTCCTATAACAATGGGGAGCCCTTTGGGCAGTTGTTCAGTGAACAAAGAGCACCCCCTGTCAGGGGAGCTGTGGGCTACTGATTTCACAAACAATATGGTTACTTTCCTTGTGACTGCTGGTACCCATGCTGGGGGTGTAGGGCATGACCACCTTGCCGTCTATTTGTAGTATAAACCCACTGGAGGTAAATCTATGAGTCCTGCCCCCTACAAGCATCCACCTGCCCAGATCATGACAGATAGTGGAAGAGGGTGGACAAGTTGGCCTCCTTAAGTGCATGGTGTTCCTGCACATCCTCAGGGATGGTAAATCTGTGCTCTCTGTGGCAGGCTCAATTTTTGAATCACTCAAGCATTTGGAGCCAAATCTGCTGAATGAGCTTGGGGGAAATCAGAAGAAAATGCCACCTACAGGCAGAGGCAAGGTCTGATTTCTAAAGGAATGTAGCTTCTTGCTTCACATGATCTGATGGAAAATTTCTGGATTAAGGTGTGTGGTTGAGGAACCTTGAAGCTAAGTCAAAGTTGGTCATTTGGGGCCTTTCAGGATCCCTAAGTGCAGTGGTTCTTCTGGTCTGAATTCTGACTAAATGGCCAAACACAAAGTGTGGGTAGCTCAGCTAAGCCTTCTGTGTCTCAGTCCTCCGTGCCTAGAGCCTCCACAGACTGTTGTGGAGGAGAGTACTGATGTCACCTCACTTCCCATGTCCATGGCTTCCTCCCCCTCCCAGCCCATTGATCTCCCTGTGTGCTCTGGAATTTCATTAAACTAAATGTGGTCCCCTCCATGAGCACAGATTTATATACCAGGGGCCTATATCCCTGGAGAGATTGTGCCTTCCACCACAAACCCTAATCCTACCCCATCAGGGTGACTAATCTCCTGCCTTTTAAGGGAGAAAGTTGCTAATGAGTCAGTCTGTTGCAGAGCTTTCCTGAATTTTCCAGTTTCCTCCCCACACCCACACGCCCCTCCTCCTACCTCTCTGCAGCAGAGGAGGACGTGCGGGCCTGTGCTATTGTGGCCCTGGCCTTCCCACCTGCAATAGGTGGTGCATGAGCCATAGAAAAGCTGGTATTCCATATGCTTGTAAGGATTTAAAAATCCAAAGAGCTAGCTAGGTAGCACCATGTACATCTGGATAATCACTTTGTGAAAATAAACATTTGAGAAAAAAGAAAGGTTAGAAAGAAATGCTGCAAAATAATAATAATGGTTGGGACAAGGCAGTGGGAAGAAAACCCTCTTGTTCTATTTTTCAGGGCTTCTTTAATATGCCTAAGTGATAAATTTATTATTGTCAAAAATACAAAGCAGGTAAATGTAACATGTTAGGTTTGTAGATAATATATGGAAATAACTGTCCTATCCAATTTTAGGCTGACATAAATGTTACAGCTTGTGGATAATCTAGGATATGTAATTTTTATACTTACAAATTATTAAGAAAAAATAAATCTTCTTTTAAAAAAGCTGAGCAAAAGCCAGGGGTGACAGAAAACCTACACTGACCATAAAAATCTGATTTATGGAATATCTTATTGAACTTCAGTTTACAGTTTTATGTGTAATACATATAACATAAAAACGGGTTAAAAAAAAACAGATGTAAAGGTTACTAAACTGTGGGAGCCAGCCTCCAAGCACCTCCCCATCATCCCAGGTGATGATGTTCACACTCCCTAACAGAATCCTCTTCCTCATATCAGGCCTGTTCTGTGTGAACCACAGAATACATTATAGGGATGGAATGTCATCCTAAGGCTAGGTCATAAAAGAGAGCATGGCTCTGCCCCTGTTTCCCTCTCCTGGGTCACTTGTTCTGGAACAGACTATTTATGTTTTGAGTAGAACTACAGATAGGTTCACATGGGAAGGAATGGAGGCCTCTGGTCAATAGCCAGCCATGTGAGCAATGCATCTTGGAAGTGAGTCTGCACCTCAGTTAAGGGGTCAGCTAACTGCAGCCTCATCAATGTCTTCACAGCAACCTTGTGAGAGGCCCTAACCAGAATCAACACCTGGATGCTTGATTCTTAGAAACTGTAATAATAAATATCTGCTGTTAAAACAGTTGCTAAATCTTGAGGTAATTAGTTATGCAGAAATAGATTATAAATTGATAAGTTGTAAAACAAAATATATAAACTACAAAAAATAAAAATGAAAAAAACAATAATTTCCAAACACACATCTTTACTTTATTAAGATATAAGAATTGATAAACTCTTAAAATTAAAGAAAGTATTGGTGGAATCTCAATCACTTATGTCCTTGATTCGGGGGTGAAAAAGACTTTCAAAACTGCATTTGCTCACAAATAGGACCTTGTAACATGTTCAGATAGAAATAATCTTAAATGGCTCATGAAAGAAGTCAAATACAATCTACAATGTTCCAACTATTACCAATTTCAAATCTACCCAAACAAGTGAAGTTCTATAGTGTGCAAGAGAATTCTTTCTGATAAATCATGTCCTTTGGAGAATAAGCCCCCCATAAAGATCAGAAGATGGCTTTTGAAAAGGACAGCTCTGCTTTCTCTTAGCTACAAAAGCAGAAGGCTGCTCAGGTCACTCACCAAGTGCAACGTACCTGTGAGGAGCTCACGATCCTCCTCTTATCTTTGCACCAGTCCATGCAGAGAACTTTGTTCCCATGGCCTTTGAGGGTCCTTCTGGTCTTCATGACAAACTGGCCCAGGGCCTCCACCCGCTCTGCCACCTGGTGCACTGGAATGACAATGCCACAATCAATCTTGAGCCCCGAGCTAACTCAGCGATGACACTGGCTTTGCGGGGGTGAGGATGCTGTGCATCATCTGTGTCACAGCTTGATCGTCCTATTCTACACATTTTGCCTTTGCAATACTCCCTTCTAAGGTCAGTTCTGGGTATGGATAATACAGTCATGCTCTCTTTGTGTTTAAGGTTTTCCAAAGCACTTCAAATAGGTGCATATTGAGGGATTAACAAGACGCCATATTTGTAGAGCACTCTATAGAATCCTCCCACTTAAGGGCCTTGGCTCTGAGAGGTGGGCAGGCAGGCAGTGGAGACTGCTATCCCCATTTAACAGGCAAGGAGGTGGAGGCTCACAGAGGCTCTTTGAATCATACAAGTTCATAGGACTCACTGGTAGCCAGATGGGGACTTCTGGTCATTTGATTATCACTTTATACTCACAAGGAAAGCTGACCTTATAAAAATTGTCCCATTAGGGCCATCCTGTGCACCTTGCTGCCTGACAGAGGCACCATGTCTAACTGATCCTCGTGTCTAGCACAGGCTTGGCATATGGTAGGTGCTGCAGCAAGAATGAAGGGGAGGACCACCAAGCAAGCTGTCAGCAGAAGGCGCACCTGTGAGTTTACTGCAAATCTTGGAGTCCTCAGAGAGAACAATGTAATGGCCTAAAAGTCTGAACACATCCTCTCCCTATGTCACCACCTACACCAGGGACGAAGCTCCCAAAGTCAGCTTCCCATGGCCTTGGACCACATCCTGAGACCCAGGGAGAGCTTCCTAGGGCTTAGAGAGAGGCTATGACTGATGAGTCTAAGAGAGAGAGAGACAAGTTCACAGGGGCAGAAGAATCACAGGGGCCAGCAAGCCCAGGCCTTTCATCACACAGGTGAGGAAACTGAGATCTGCAGGGAGCACGGGTTCTGCTGCCATGGGCAGCAGTCGAGGGTGCCCCTCCCTTTTGGGTCAGTGAGAAGTCAGTCTCCTACCCCCATCTTCTCCTCTTAACCCTCTTGGTAGGCATTCCTGCAGACAGGTGGGGAAGGAAGGGTAATCTGGACCAGTGGACAGCCTAGGAGGGGCACGGTTCCTTACAGACAGAGCAAGGAGTGATGAGAGGCAGGGAGGTTGACCTGCTCCCCCTGGGAATGTGGGAGGTTGATGGGGAAGGGGAGGGAGCAACCTGCCAATGGAAACCAGTGACAGGGCAGAGATGTGGTTTGGGCTGAATGACAATAGCACCCTTCTGGCAAAACCATCTTCCCTTGCCTCTCCCTAAACACCACAGTGTGCAAAGAGCTATCTTCAATAATATTTAATGATCACAATCAGAAAATTATTGCTGAAATAATACTACTGTCTAAGCTAAAGACTTATTGAGATGCTGCCTATTGTCCCAGCAATATGCTTTATAGCAAAGGAAAATCCAAGATCGAGTGTTACATTCATGAATGCTTCTCAGCCCCCAATTATCTCACTCCCTAATTTGTTTTTTCCTGATGCTTATTTAGGATTAGGTTTGGCTAAGGCATACGTGGCAGGGGTGTGGAGTTCCTGGGGACACATGCTGCCATCAGCCACTGCTATGGGCGGTAACCTTCATCATTTGTTTAAGGTAGCACCTGCCAGGTTTCTTTTTCTTTTTTCTATCTTTCACTATCTTTGTAGTGAACAAGTGTCTTGTGGGGATGTATTCTGAGACTGTATAAATACCATGGTATTCCTCAGACTCTGATGTCCTTATTGTGAAACTCATTAATTTCTCCTGCCTACCCTAGTTATTGGGCTGCTGATTAGAAAGTGGTGACTTTTCTAAGTCCACCATCCCTTCTGCATATATTAGTTGGTTTTCCAATCTGAGGAGGTGCTTTTCCTCCTCTCGCATTTATTTATTCATTTATTTATATTAGCATGAATTCTTACTGTATTCAATAGGTTATAATCCATTACTAGCGCTATTTACTCTGATGCTGAAACTGTTCTCCTTTCCCCCTGGGAACCCCTTCTGCAGGCCTGTGACTTCCTGACATGCCCCACCATCCTTGGTGCACTTCCCACTCTGAGCTCCTGTTGTTCTTTCCCTGTCCTGGAATCAGTCACTTCTCCAAGAAGTCTTGGTTCCTCTTACTTGCCCCACTTCTGTGTGATGAAAGAAAAGAGGTGTGCAAAAAAGTCTTTGTGAGAACTCAAAACTGGAAAAACACTTGCTACACTCTGAAGTGCTCCATTATGCCATTGCTCCTGCTGAAACACTGAATTACTGCCACCAACAGCATGGCAGTCTTATTGATACACTGTTCACAAAAACACTTGAATGAAGTTTAAAAACAGACTGAATTTTCTGAATTCTTACAAGCCTTTTACACAAGCCTGTATCATCAGTTCAGCATTGTGAGCATATTCTATTTTAATATTTTACTGATATTATACTGATATTACTGCTGCTTCTTTCAAATTCAGCATTAGGATAGCCATAGCTTTTTAACATCCCCCTTAAAAAAAGAGATGACTCATCAACTAAAATAGAGCCCTCCTTACATAACATGAATTTTAACATATCCCAACTATTAATTACTTTTTCTCACTGCATTTTCCCTTCCCACATAGAGATTCACTCCCAACCCACTCCATCCTGTTTCTGTCTGCCAAGTTTTGCAACCACTGAATTCAAGATTTTCTTAAAAGTTAAATATCAGAAAGTAAAAGGAGATCTGGAAATGAGCTAAATATGTTTTGTATTCTATTTGGGGGAGCTCAGTCTGGGGTACATGTGGTTTCTTTTTTGCCTTCTGATGAACCACCCTTCCAGGATATAAGTTTTAAAATGAATTTTTTTTTAAAGAAATGATGACCACAACCGTCTGGTTTCTGCAAGAAGAATGGCAACCTGGTGGAAAATTCCACTAGAAGCTAAACTTCAGGAAGACAGGGGTGCTGTCTTGTTGGAGGCCCCCTCGAGGCATAACCGGAGCAGGTAGTTCTGAATTCTGTCCATGGGTTTAGGCTGCTGGGGTCAAAGCCAGGCTCTGCCACATGCCAGCTGTGCAACCTTGAGTATCACCTTCCTTGTCCCACCTTGCTTCTCTCGTGGGGTTGCCAGAATGACTACTCAAGCCTGGCCAAGGGAACACGGGGTAATTAGCTGTGATCTTCTCCAGCTCGGGTACCCTGGAATACTTTTTTTTTTCCCTGATAAAATATTATAGGTTTATTTAAAACTTAATTCTCACCTTGAGTATGCAAAATACAAATTCCACAAAAATGTTCATTTTACTTTGTAGTTTGCAAATATGCAAAATTGAAGTATGCTTAAATTTATAGTACATATCGATTAAGGTAAGGAACTACAGAGAAAAAAAACATATTTGTTCTGCTTAAGGCATACTTGGGAATAGATCATTGAAAAAAACTGTTGCACATCTGAAAGCACAGTGCATAACAGACCATCTGCATAAAAATGTAAAAGAAAGAAACCTGGCTTATTTCCAGTAATACTTAATTGACATATTCATAGTGCTTAGTATTTACTACACTTCAATCAACTGTAGCAATTCTAAGCAGCAGTTTTTGGTGGAGCAACCAAACTTGTAAGCCCCTTTCCCTGCTTTTTCTGTACCTCTCTTACACTAGCTCTTAGCTCTCATTGCTACACCAGCTGCCAAGCAGCTCCTCCAGTCATCAGGGCAACTCACGAGCACTGGGGGAGATACACTTGGTTTCAGGCCCACTTCCTGATCTGCACAGGAACTCAACATGCAGCCCTTTATTTGGGGTGGGTACTGGGGATTGAACTCAGGGGCACTTGACCACCAAGCCATATCCCTAGCCCATTTTGTATTTTATTTAGAGACAGTGTCTCACTCTGTCGCTTAGTGCTTCACTACTGCTGAGGCTGGCTTTGAACTCCTGTCTCAGCCTCCCAAGCCGCTGGGATTACAGGTGTCCGCCACCACGCCTGGCACATGTAGTCTTGCTAAAAGTTCCTTCTAAATGTTGGCCTTTTTCTGTCCCTTGAGAACTTGGACTTGACCTTTACTACACACAAATCTTAATGCCGTATACAGACAGCTTAAGCTCTCTCCTGGATGATCCTGGTTCAACATGTGCAAGGCTGCCGGATGGCCAGATGTGTGAGATTCTGTCTAGGCTCTCCCTGGAGTTCAGAGTCAGGGGAAGAGATGGAGCCATAAGATAACTTCAACCTAACATGTGACTTGCTAAACTAGACGTGTGGACACAGGGAGTATCTGCCCCAAAGGGTGGGTGTTGCACTGGGCTTTCTGGGGTGATATTTGAGATCAGAAAAAAGGACAATAAGATGATTCAGAGGTAAGAGGGACTAGGTGGGCACTCTAAGCTGAGGAAATGGCAAAAGCTAAGGCCCAAAGGTATTATATTAGTTAGGTTTTTTTGTGGCTGTCACCCAAATATCTGACAAGATCAGAGGAAAAGTTTTTGTTGGACTCCTGATTTTGGAGGGTCAGGTCAGCCGACTCCATTGTTTTGGGCCTGAGGTGAGACAGAAAGCGTGGCAGAAGGGCAGGAGTGGAGGAAAGCTGCTCAGCTCATGGCAGGGTCAGGAAGCAGAGAGGGGAAAGTGAAGGGGCCACAGGGCCGACGAACCCTTCCAAGGAACACCCTCAGTGACCCACCTTGCCCCACTTGCCTACAGTTACCACCCAGTTAGTCCATTCAAACTAAGACGGACCAATGAGGTTATAGCTCTCATCATCTAACAAATTCATCTCTGAATATCCCTATATTAACACAGGAGCTTTTGGGGGGCACCGCATATCCAAACCATAATGGTCAGTATGAGATAAGCAAATGTTTTTAGGGCAGTACAAGCAACTTAATCACAGTAGAGGACTAAGGGTGAAGAATGGGCACAGGCAAGTAATGGCTTTGTATACCCACAACAAAGCTCCCCCAGGGACAGCAGCCAATTGGGGAGTTGTCATCAGGGGCATGACATGGTCAGATCTGCC